TGCAGGGACAAACATGTTTCTGTTATTTTTTCTGCAGTCGTGTGAAATCTGTCAGGAGCCATTTGAGACGTACTGGGTGGAGGAGGAGGAGGACTGGTTCCTGAAGGACGCCGTCAGAGTCGACGACAAGGTGACGCACAACACAACAACACGACAGAAGTACACAATGACGCAACCAAACACAACATCCTGGTGACTGACTTGTTTTTTCTTCTTTAGAATTTCCACCCGGCGTGTTTTGAGGATTATAAAAATGTGAGTAACTGATGACTCATCAAAATAAAAACAAATCAATAATAAAGGAATCAACAATTCAACCTTCGACCTTCTTTGTCTCCTCAGACGTCGTCCTATCTCGATGTCACGCCATCGCCCAGCAAGCTGCTCACGGATCACCCGCTTAGCGCCTTCGTAGAGACCAAGGAGGAAGAGGAGACTTCCTGCTCCAACGCTGCCGTCTCGGTCAAACAGGAAGTTGTGCCTGAGGCCGTGGAGCTGCTCGATGTGAAAAAAGAGGAGGCGGAGCTTTTAATTGACCAAGTGCAATCAGAAGAGAATTGTGTTTAACCACGCCTCCTCTGCCGCCACCGCCGCTGCTGCTCTCGGCCTCCGTCACTTTTTCCATTTTTGGAGAAGGTGTTTTTAGCGAGCGGAGGTCGAGTCGTCAGCAACGTTCAATACATTTTTGTATTTGGATCCAACGCGACCATTTCAGGTCGTCTGTGTTTGTTTGACTCGACGCTGTAAATGATTTAATTTATGATTAAAGTATTTTTTGAATCTCTGGTGTTAAAGTGATTAATGATCAGCTGCTGCTGCCACAGTCTGATGGTTGTTGATCCGTTCGTTGGTTGATGAGTAGTTGCAGGTGTTGAGTTGTTTCCCCCTTCGTTAAAGGTAAGCATGGCTCGATTGGACGACAGGAGACTCCGCCCACTCTTCAGGATTGGTTACCGTCGAGGATCCGAGTTGTCGTCTTTATTTTTTCTGATTTTCAATAAACGAGTCTGAAACATGTTTGTTCTTGTGTGATTCTGATTTAATAGTTTTTATTGATGTTCGGTTCACAATTCAAAATAAAGTTCCAGTGGATTTAAATGTCGTCTTGTCTTCGTTATTTTTCACAAAAAGTTACTTTATAAAGTCACTCGTTAAAATGACATCACTAGTAAGTTATATGGAGTCATTATTAAACATTACAGTGCCCCTCTTATAAAACATTACACACACTCTTTTCTACATTCAACAGAAAATGTGTAATGATGTGAAAAAATACTCAGATTCTTCATGTAGAAATACTTGATTATGAATAAAAGTACATGAAGCTGAGAGTGCTTGTGTACTTTTACTTTATTGAACCAGCTCCAGGTCTGAGCTTCACCTCCACAGTCTGTAAACGCCCAGAGTGATGGCGAGACACGAGAACACGGTCGCTGAGGAGGAACAGGACAAATTAGTTACTTTAGTTACTTTGATCATTTGATTACTCTGTGTGTTACCTGCCAGGTAGATGACCGTCTCCAGTTTCAGAGACTCCAGCAGAGTTTTGAGTGACGCCACCTGCAGGTCGATCTTGTTGTTGATCTCCATGTTGTCGTTTTCCAGGTCGACTTTCTGAGAATAAGAGACGAGGACACGTCAGGTCGAAGTTCAACCAGCACAGTAGTTTAGAGTTTAACTGTAGTATTTTAGTATAAAAGTAGTATTACGGTAATATTACAGTGGTGTTATAGTATTATAGTCCCGTTGTTTCACCTTGTGGTGGATGTCTGTCGTCGTCTCCATCAGTTTCTTCTCCTGTTCAGTGAACTGACACAAAAACACTGAGTTAAACTCACGATGCGTTCACTGACCGGTGTGCACGATGTGTTCACTGACTGACTCACCATGTCAGAGATCCTGCTGCGCTCCAGGTTGATGTCAAGTTTAGTTTCCGCTCTGACTTTCTGCGTCTCCTCCTGAACAGAAAACATTGTGTTTCATCAGAACTGACGTCTGCAGCGTCTCAGCTGATTTATAAAAGAGTCTGTACCTTCAGTCTGTTCTGCAAATGCTCCAGCTCTCGCTTCATTTTCTGTGTCACAGAGTTGAAATCAGAATCAAACGGGAATGTGTCGTGTTACCATGATATGTTACGTGTTGTGTTACTATGATATGTTCCAGTGTGGTTGTACGTGTTGTGTTACCGTGTTTTCAGAGCGCAGATTGGCAAACTCGCTCTTCTCCAGGATCACCATGTCCTTCCTGATGGAGTCCAGATGAGATACGATCTGCTGCACAGCGATTTCCTGAAAACCACACGCATGAGAAGACTGACTCTGTCCCTGCTCTGACCTCTGACCTCTCACCTGCGTCCTACCTGGTGGGACTTGGTCACCATGTCTCTGTAAACAATGTCCATATTCGCCGTCGTCAGAGTCACCAGAGCCGAGACGATCAACTCGGCCTGACGCTTCTCAAAACCTGAAAACAAGTTACATCATGACGACGTCATTAGGAAGTGATGTCACACTGAGTCACAACAGTACTGTGATGTACTTCCTGTCAGTGTCCTCACCGCTCCTCTCCAGCTCCGTCACCATCGTGTGGGAATCGAACGTGAGCTTTCGCTGCTCCAGAGGCGTCAGTTCAACTTTTCTCATGTCAAAGGTCAATGAAGGGGCTGTCGAATGGAAATCTGTCTCACACACACACAGACACACACACACACACACACACACACACAGACAGACAGACACACACACAGACACACACACAGACACACACACACACACACACACAAACACAAACACACAGACACACACACACACACAGACACACACACAGACACACACACACACAGACAGACACACACACACACACATTATTCTTTGGACCGTTTGATCCCAGTTCACAGTAATAGATTACTCCGGTACTCCAGAGTAAACCGGGTGGAGTCGGACTCACGTCTCCAGGTTCGAAACCTCCTCAGGTGGAACCTCCGCAGTGCGTTCATACCGGAAGTTTCTGTGTTTTGAGAAAAGTTAGAAATGTGACGATCAGCTGATCCTGGAACAGACCGGAAGCACTGTGACGTAGACAGGACACAGCCAGGCTACCTTCAGCGACACTCGGAATTCTCACACTCACTGTTCTGGCTAATGAGACAGCGTCCTCCAGTGGTTGAAGATATATCTCCTCTTGTACTGTAGTCAGCCCTGGAGAGTATCACTAGTAGTATCTCTACTCCAGTTCATCTAGTAGTAGATATACTACAGTTACTACTGCAGTACTGTTCAAATCATAATATTCATGATCTCGAGGCTCTTTGTTGACTTGTTGTGTTTTGTGACGAACAGTGACTTGAATTAACGACACTTGTTTCAACGCATCAATAATCACAACATGATTCAATAACTTCATATTATGACATTTATTGATTTAAAATCATTTAGTACTCAACTCCAACAGCGGATGTGTCGTCACTGTCCCGCACGGAGCTGTCAATAAAGTTGTTTTGAAAGTCTAGCTTCCGGGTGTCATGGCGGCGGCGGAGTGTGTCAGCGGCTCCTGGTTTCCTGCTTTAGTGTTCGGAGTGTCTCTGATGAAGAGTGTGTTCATCACTGCATAGTGAGTCACACACACACACACACATAGAGAGACAAACAAACACACACAT